TGTATTTTATACACATCTCTCAATTCATTTAAAGGAAACAGGGCAAAAATCAACTTCCTCATTTTCAGATAGGAAAGCCAAGGTGCAAAACAGTGAAATAGCTTGTCCTAGTTTGTGCAGAAATCTGAGTGATCCCTAGTGATCATTAAGAAGAATGCAGCCTATTCTGGGCTAATGAGGAGAAAATATAAAATGTTCTGGATGTGGCTGAGAAAAGATCAGACACACTTTGTACAAATGGGAAGCTTACTAGGTATTATGCAATGTTCCTGAGTCAGTGGTGTGATAGAACAAAGTCAAGTAAAAAAATCCTTGATTTGGGGATATTAGTTAAATTAGGAGTGTGCTTTCAGTAATTAGTGATTGGGATATATTAGAAAAAAAAGTGCAGTCAGTTTATAACCATGCTAATCTAACAGTTCAAATTTAGGGTTATGCACCAGTCTAGACTGATTTATCACAAGTTTGTTTAATTAATGTGGAGCTTTTTTTTTTTTTTTAAGTATTTCAGTGTTCCACATATCTTAACTTGGTGGAATTAGTAGAGGATTCTATTAAGCCGTGACTTTACTAATGGAATTTGATGGCTCAACATCTCAGTGTGCCCAGTTTTCACTATTTGTTCTGCTTCAAAATTTGACATGATCAGTCAGATCTGAGAATTCTAATTATGCAGTGAAGAAATAGACTTCAAGATTTCAAGTCCCCACAGAAAAAGCCAGTGGGTATGTAATTAAGAAAGAGAAAAAGGTCGACCTACTTTTTCCGTTTGGTCTAAACTTCTGCTTGATCTATCTTTATTTCTTTCTATTGATCTATTTATCTGCCTATCCACTCTGTCACTAATAATCTTGACCTTATTTTTTGTTGATTGATCATTTAAACTAATTTCTAGCCTGAATGATGGTAATTTAATAACATGAGCCAATTAGAAGTTAAATAGAATCAATAAACCCCTCTGTGACATCAGTGAGAGAAACATTGAAGTACCACTGTCTCATTAGCTCTTTCAGCATTTTGTATTAATATTTTAGAGCTAAAGTCAAATGAACATATTAATAAAACTACAAAAATGATTCATAACGTGTTGTTACTGTTTAGCTATCAACTTTTTCCAGCTTCAGGGAACAAAAGCCAAAAACAACTGTTGTTTATTCAACCTCAGCAGGCATTCTTCATCTAATCAACATCCAGTATGGGAAAAGATATATTTGGCTTATCACTTCTACTTCCTACCCTACCCTACCCCTCTCACAGGCAGATGCAAATATTGCATTCCCAATGAAATCAAATCCTGCAGTCATGTGCCTTCAGGTAACTCACTTGCCTTCATAAGATTTTGGCTTTCAAATGGCAAGTGGTGGTTACTCTGTCTTTTGTACAACACATTTTGCCAATCTCTGGTTCCTCCAGTAAAACCAAAAGCAAATTAAATACCCAGAAAACAGTTCTGTATCCTGAGAGAAACAAGATTGTGACATATGTTTACGGACATTTTAAGAGTATTCTCCTTAGCTTGGCATGTATCACAGGGAAAGGGATACTGTCACATACTTCTAAAGAGTTCATCCCTCTTCTTTACTGAATACCTTTGTGGAAAACCTATTTTCTTACTGAAAATAGGAAAACCTATTTTCTTACTGCTCTAAATGAGCAGATAAATACACAACAATATATGAAAACCTAGCAGAATCTGAGTTCTCTTAGGTTATCTCTTGCAGTTTTACCTCCCTTTTAGTCCTAGATTAAAAGTTCCTTTGGTCTAACCATTGCTTGTGTTAGATGAATTCTAACTATGGTTTCCCACAGGCTTGAATACAATTTGTTGTTCCTGCCTCTGGATGGTGACAGACAATTTCTGCTGGCCCATATCTAAGTGTTAATATGTAAGGGTGCATTAACACTGCTGTAAGCTTCTTGTTTGCTTTCCTGTAAGCCCTGTCAGATGTGACTCTTCTGTTTTGGAGTTTATGTTGATTCATTTCATTGCCTTCCTGATAAATCAGCCCTAGGAACAGAACACACATTATTATGGTTTTAGACAATAAGCTTCTGTGAAGGTGCTAGATATTGTCCATGTGCCATTGAGCAGCCAAAATAATCCTTCCTCTAAAATCTTTGTAATTCTTTGTAATCCTCTTCCTGAATTCTGCTTTTCCAGCTGGATGGACAGTGTAGTGGTACTGAACTGCCCCTGAACAGGTTCAGATTCTGCACATGTCCCTTCTCTGTGCCAGAACTGATTAGCCCTCCTGGCTGCTAAGTAAATCCAGATGTTTGCCACATGAATAACTCTTAGGCTGTCTGAAAGCCCATGACACAGAAGGGGGTGGATACAGCATGCCAAGTAACAGCCTACTGGAACCCTGCTTACCAATTACTTCATTTTGGAGAAGAAGATAATGCCAGCAGCCAGGCCCACAGACATTTGCCCAGCAGTGCTCACATCAGTGTCTGCACGACACAGCCACCTCCTGGCTCCATTTCTTTTACACTGGATCTTTTCTGAGTTTCAGTTGTCTGAACTGTGGATGGGATGAACAGAAGAAGTGAGAGGCACAGCAGCAGCACAGCAAGAATACATGCCTTTCCCCCTCTTCAGAAACCCCCCAAGCCACCAACCCCCTCAACAAGAAGCAGTTAGGGCAGAATTTTAACAGCCACCTGCAGTCAAAAAAGGCAAAGACAACACTGGACTGGATGAGGGGATGAGAGAGAAGAACAGATGGATACAACAACAACAACAACAACAATCCAGATTGACGAACAAACTCACTGGTGAGGAATGGTGACATTAAGGAGATCTGTTATGGAAGAGACAAATTTTTGTGACCCAAACTTCCAAATTAACTAAATCTCTATTTTTTTTTGTAGACACACTTTTGCCTTAAGCTCTCTAGAACCATGGCATGGTCTGTATTCACCCTTGCAGGGAAAAAACCCAGTAAACTGGAGTTTTCTGAGACTCTCCCACAGTCAGAGGAGTCGATGTATGCACACACAAAAATTATGTTTCATATTCCTTGTAATACTCTCTCATAATCAACCATCTTGCAAAGCATCCCAGATTCAGATTTGAAGAAAGAAATGTTAGAGAGCAGAAAAGGGGGATAGAAATGAAGGTTGTGGAGGGAATAGAAATTCTAAAAATAGAAAACTTGGAAAAGTCCAGCAAAAGAGTAATAGTAAGCAGATGGTGGTTTCCCTTGCACTGGAATGAGAAAAAGGAAAGAGGAATCTTTACCTGTGTTGCAAAGATACACCCCTTTTTCCTGGGTTTTCTGGGGTTTTTTGTTTGCTTGGTTGGGCATTTTGACAGGAGGTATTTGGTTTTAGGTTTGTTTGGGTTTTATTTTTCTTTTTAATGTGGAACAAAAAACCTCAATAAATAAAAGCAACACATAACTTCATTTGGAGGGAGGTTGGTTGTTTGTTTGGGTTTATTCACAACCTATTCCACAAGTTGAAAGTCAATGCAGTTCAAAATGAGCCCTCCATTTTCAGATCTATAATCTATATAGTTTTACTCTTTGCCTTGCTCTAAAAGCTGAGTCAATGGAATAGATTTCCTTTAAGAGCAAATGATGGTTGTCCATTTCCCTTCCCACCAAATCAGTTATAATTTTAATTTTCTTTTCGTGTAGGCTTCTTTTTGCATTATTGCTAAACCTTGATGTGAGTAGATTTGCAAAAAATGAAATAAATTATCTGGAGACTCATTTAATGGACTCCATTCATTAATGATAAAAAGCATTGGATTTAAGTGTCTTAATCAGTAGAGTTTACTAATAATATTTAGGATTTCTTCCAAACATTCATTTTTTATTATTTTTGTAGAGAATTTGTTTATATTAAAAATGTTTTGATGTAATTTCATTTTGTTACTGTTCTACAATTCTCTTTTTTCTCTTTATTTTGAATTTTAGTTTTTTCTACCTTATGCTTAAAAGAAACCATAGTTATTTAACTGGCAGCTCTTCAGAGCTTAGAGACTAAATTGCCTTGGAAACTAGAAGTTTATGTCAGGGTAATGGATTTCAGTTATTTGACAACTCAGCAATCTAATGATATAGTGACAGATATAGTTCTGATTAAATCTAAATTTATTATTGGTTAAAATTTCATTTTACAAGACTAAATTAATGATTAAATATCAAATTATCTGTAGATTTTAATAATTTTGATTTGCTCATCATTCCATAGATACAGATAATAAAATAAAAATCGTTGCAAGAGCTCATTTAAAAATTAAAAGAAAATTACATATTGAAAATCCAATCCTGAATTTTGCATGGGATGCGTTTAAACTGGGTTATAAAATATTACATATTTAATCTCTCAGAGAAAAAGCTCCTGGTGATTACACCCAGGTTGTTCAAACTCAGTATTCAAAGATGATGTGAAAGCATCTGGAGTACTCCTGTCAGCTAAAAGGACAATAGAACTCCTACAGCACAGCATGGGCAGATCTTTGGTATCAGAAATTGTACAGAAATTCAGCTGTTGCTCTGCACCCCTGGAGTCAGGGCTTTGTGCAGGATCTGTAGGACTTTCCCTGCCCGTGCTGGGCTGCAGGATGTTGAGGGTTATCAGTGAGGCGTCTAAAAAAATCCATTTTCCCTCCTGCGAAGTCAAAGCACTGCTCTTGGCAAGTGCTGCGAGGAGGAACAAACCGGGCTGGCTTCCTGCTGCAAGTTGAAATTCCTTCATGGCGACCAGAGAAAGAAATGACCAGACTAAGAAGTTAAGCAAACTTACCTGGGAATCTTGGGGGAGAGGTGGGAAAGAACAAATATGGTTTGTTCTAATGTACAAGGAAACAAACAGGCAGTTCCTAGACCAGCTTGGGGATTGTTGTATTATCAGAGTACTGTTTGATCTTATTTGATTTGCCCAAGCCACGAGTTTCTCTGAAAGGAATACCTGTGACTGAAGGCACAGTTTGTGCCAAGGTTTGATGGCAGCTTTGCATTTTAAAATTTTCCACCACGCTGTCAAAATTTTAAAATTTATTGGCCCTGCCAGGGCTCACTTTCTCCAAGGTGAAACTCTTAGCAAAAATATTTGTGCAGCAATAATCCTTCTAGCTTTATGCTCTCAACATGCAGTTCTTCACCTGGGCTGGGGATTACACAAGGATTAAAACAAATTTTAGATAAAATCATAATGTAATGTAAAAACTGCAGTTCCTGATTTGGATATGCTTTCATTGTTGCTGTCTATTCCCTTCAACTTTCTCTTTCCCCCATTACAAATTTAAACCTATGTGGTATTTTATTTTTTTTCTATATTTCAATGTGGTACTATTAATGTTTTAAAGTTTGATTAAAAGGTGAGTAGTGTGTGCAATAGAAAAAGTTTTGGAAAATATCAATTTATTTCGTGTAGCATATACACTCCTGGACTCCTTTCCAATATCAATTCTATGTAGTTTTCCTCATAAATATTCACAGAAATCACTCTTTCTTAGCTTTAAAACCTGACCCCAGGATCCATCAGTCTTATCCTCTCACTAATGCTATTGGAGGGGGATTTTTATCTTTGTAATCATAACAAGCACTGTCATGGTAATGCCAGGTTCTATACAGTAAGAGGTACTCATTTACTGAATTGGACACCAGAATATGTGGGTTTTACACTCTTTCATAAATCAGGGCCCTCAGAGTGTTTTGCTCAAAATTTCCTCAAAATGCTACCTTTTAACAGAATTGAACATTGATAATTTTCTTTTAAAAAGGAGTTGAGATTTAGAAAATCTTGAGCAGGGTCTTCCAAGTTTAGTTCACAAACAGTTGCTTAAATGTGAGAAATCAGGTTAGGAATGCTATATAGCAAAATCAATGTTCAATGCACTGCCTAAATCAAATGCAACCTCTCAAGCAAGGGCTTCCTTTGCAAGTCTTTTGCAGGCTGTGTGTGACCTTTGGGAGCGTCTGGGAAGCCCTGGCTCAAAGCTCATGGAAATAAAGGTAAATTATATTTTTCAGCTCTGCTATACTGCCTATCATTTTCAATGAAGTTGAAGATGTGGCAATAGCATAGACAAGATAAAGAAAAGTTCTTAACAAATTCCCTTGTCAATACACTTTCCTTGGTTAAAATTCAGAGTGGCAAATGATGTGGAAGAACATAGCTCAGATGCACTGTCAGATAAACCTGGCCTGGGCTGTCTGTGTGCCAGCTGGAATGGAAATTAGACTTTTTTTTATCACTGTCTGCAAAGGAAACCTGTTTTTCCATTACTCTTATTTGGGTTATTTCCTGCACTTATCACTTGGAAGTTACATATGGAGCAGTAATGAAGAAATACACCAGCTATCAAGGTAGAATGCCAAAAATAGAAGTCTGAATTCAGATCAGCCCTCTGTCTGTCCTGCTTGCCAGACCCCTGCAAGCACGTTACTCGCTGGGAGATGGGGGATAAATCTGAATGGTGGCAATGATAAAATAAACTGAGTGCAGACTCTGTACACCCTTGTTCACGATCCATACCAAAGGTTAGGTAGCTGATGAATTCTTTGAGGCCAGGACTGAGAAGGCATGATGTGCAGTGCCAGACCTGCCAAACCAACTTGATTTTCATGTGGAAAAAAAAAAACCAATAAAAATTTGCACTTGATTATTATAACCCAGTAAGCTTTCTGGCTTCCACTCAGGTCAGGCTGATTCTAAGGAGGGAACTCCCTGTGTGTTGTTACATTTCTGTTATAGAAACCACAACCATTCAGAGGAAGATTATATCGAAGAACAAACAGTGCCACCAGGTAAAAATAAAGGGCTGTTAAAATCAGGAAAGCAAGCTAGAGTTGTTTTTTGCACTTGACTCAGTCAGTTGATGTTAGGCATCATGTTTGTTGCCTAAAACCTAATCATCTCCCCTCCTTCAGCAGAGAAGCTTCCTTGGGTGACAGTGCTGAATGCAAATGTCTCTGGGCTTTTGGGTTTCAATCAGCCATTAGCACTGCCTTTTATTTTATCTGCTTAACATTTATACACTCAGGAAGGGAATACTTTCTTAGCCTAGCAATGGGGGTTTGTGTTTGCCTTTTTCAGTTCTCGAGTACAGACAATAACCCCCTAACGAGAGTTGGGGGAATTTTTTTTTATTTGATGCATTCTGAGGGAAGAGAATTCGGTGGGAAAAAGGGATTGGTGATGGGTGATGGTTGTTTCTTTCTCGAAATTTTGCTGGAAGTCCAGGAAGGCAAATAACTGCTAAAGGCTGCCACATTCCTCACGCAGCAGTTTATCTCCTGCGTTAAGGGAGAGAACTGCTACCCCACACAAATAAAGATCATAATGCTATTTTAACTATAGATTTGCTCAAGCTCTGTCCTTTAGCTTAAACTGTGTGCTGCAATGAGTCAGCTAATACAGAATAAGGTTTAAAGGAAGTTAAAGCACCAGAGAATGTGGCAGGACCTAATTCAGTTTGATGAACTGGTATGCTACGTTCTGTGTGAAATATGGATTATCTTGGGAACACAGCTGGATACTTTGTGGACCAGGGTCTTGAACCAGAGCC